GGACCTGCCCCTTCCCTGCAGCTCTTTCCAAGCTGCATAGCCCTGAACATTGTCCCCGCTCCAGCAGCAGACACCACCCCCACCTTCTCCCGCCAGGGCCAGGAGACAGGGGCCCATTGCAAGTCTGCAGGATGCAAATCTGTTTTCTAATCCCTGCATGTGTAGATGCCTGCCCAAAAAATGCTTACTCTGGAGTATAATTTACTTTACATGAGGGTAAATTTGGGCCAGAGCAAATGCAGGTGTAGACGCATCCACTCTTATGCAAAGCACATTCAGTTAAGTGCCTGTGCAATGAAGATGGTTGCTCCCTGTGTATTATCATGGGGACAACCCCCCCCCCCCCAACAATACACAAGGACAGAATTCCAGTGAGCAGGATCTTCCAGTGCTTCATCCTGAACTTCATGTGCCAAGTGCAGCAAGGGAGAAGGGGACCATGCTGCTTTGGTATCCTGCTTCTGATGCTGTTTTCTACTTCTTATCTCCTGACCTCAACTCATCTCCTGCCTTCCAAACTGGCTTGAAAACCATCTACCTTTTGACCTGACTGAAGCCCACTACCTCACAGTTCCCACTTGCTCCTGCCCCTTGATTTGGGATCCTGGCTATTGATATTTGGCTCCTGTCCTTTGCCTAGCTTTGTACCAGTTACAGATTGATCACCTCTTGAAGCTCACGGCATTAATGAACCAATAAGATAGGAATGTAAATGATTTTTTCTGCCCATATAATACTATATAGCAAGGCTGATGACCAGTCCTGGTTGGTTATTGATTTATTTATAATGTCACTGCATATATTCTTTGGAGAAGAAAATGCTTTTAGTTTGCAACAAGGAAAATTCAGCTTCTGTATCAGAAAAAAAATTTCTCACTATGAGGGTACGAAAATATCAGGACAGAGTACCTAGAGAAGGTCTGGAATCTTCATTCTTGAAAGTTTTTATGAACAGATTAGACAAACAATTGTCCATTATGGTTTACATTAAGATAATCCTGCCTTGACCAAAGATTGGATTGGGTATTTCCAAAAGGTCCCTTCCAACCTTTTTTTTTTTTTTTTTTTCTCTCTCTCCTTCTTCTTCTTCTTCCTCCTTCTTCTCTTAAATGATTCTGTGAATACAACTTCATCCCATTACAAATGACAGTGTCTGCTGAAAAGAAAGACATGAAACTGATTCTTCCTTCAGTAATAGATACTTTAAACAAAGAAAGTATTGCTATTTATTCTTCCTCTTGATATCACAGCCATAACAGGGAAGCCAGGTGCCTGGGGCAGTTGTGATGTATAGGGGCAACAGACACTTCCAGCCACTAGTACGGTTGATGTGGCTGGGGGGCTGGGGGGAGGCTGTGTTGTAGGGGGCCACCAGCCCCTCCCAGCCACTAGTACGGTTGATGTGGCTGTGGAGCTGGGTGAAGGCTGTTATTTTTCTGGCTCCCCTGCCCAAGTAGAGGCCCAGAGTTGTTCCCTGGTTGCTCCACTTTAGTCACACTACTGACTCATACTGTTGAGGATTTGAAGGGAGATGTTTGGAACGTTAAGTTTACCCATGAAGTACAGATTTGGGATAAAACATGAAGGGACATCTCTAGGAAATAATGTGTTCAAATTGTATGCTTTACAAAGAGATTTTGAATGCTTCTCTAGCAGCCCAAGCCCAAAAGCCTTCTTTTAACCTCTTGTAACTCTGGGCTTCTTCACTCAAGAGCACCCTAGATATTGCTTGAACTTCTTCCATCACCAGTGCTCCAAGCCTGCTTGCCCAAGTGGATTTGTTCCAAGCCACTATTTCCACAATTTTCTCTAATAAACATTTGGGTTCAAAGGAGGCCACAAGAAGGCTTTTATTCATCTTTTTTTTTTTTTTCTTGCAAATTTCCACCATCCTCCTCCACAGTCCATTGGAGGGCCAGCTGTTCAAACAATGCCTGTTGTCTAATGAACAGCATCTCCTTCCTTTCTATCTGCTGGACTTGGTTCCATATAAATTTCTTCAACCTGGCGCTGTTGTCCCTGTAATAATTGGGCATATTTGCACTTCCTTCCGTGCTGAGCCAGATGTTGCAGCTGTCAGTCACTCAGTCTCCATTTTGCCACCTCTGGCAAAATGGAGACTGGGTTTTCAAGGGCACAAAAAATGGTTTCTTTAATGACCAGTGAAGGAAGCTCCTAACCAATACAGCAGTTGTAACAAGCCTGGCACAAAGTGGCTCAAGCACATCGTTTTGTGGCAAGCCAGTCCTGCATCTTCTTCTTCCCATGGAGTTTTTTTTCCCTTCACTTACCTGCCATCCTTTGATGAAACCTGGATCTCTTGAGAGGTTGCTTGTAAGTTCCAGGGGGAAGTGAGTCTGGTAGTAATAGACTCAAAGCTGTTTCTCAGGTTAGCTCATTTAGCTCAATCTGTCTCTGTCCTTTTTTCTGTCTTACTAATATAGGCGAGTACATGAGTACTATGGCACCTAGTTGGTCATAGCTGCTCTCTTTGCAAAGGTCTGAGTGTTTCTTCCTGCTATGTCTCAGGAATCAGGTTTATACCCCTAAGCATTAGCCCTTCCAGTCAGGTGCCTCTCTGAATAGTCCCAGGTGTATCTCCCCAGCTCAATGAGCAGCCTGTTCTAATTTACTGCTCTGTTGCTATAGTTCTACCCTATTGGCTGCTAGCCTACAAGTAGTTAGTTGCAGTTCTGTAGTTCCTAACTCCAGGTTCCCCAGGCTGCTTATTCCCCTGTTGCTAGCCCTTTCTCAGCTGCCTGCATTTGACTGCAAGCTTGGATCTACTGCCTCTTTCTCTTAAAGCACCAGGGTTTCTGACCTGTGCTATAGCTGAATTTTTGAGGTATACTCATATCTTTTAAAATCCTGCTTCCTTACTCAGTGCTTTCCCTCTATAATGAAGGCTCTTTAAGATGCTACAGCTGGGTGCCCAAATTTACTGTTTTTTAAAGTGAGGCAAAATGCTTAAAAGTACATTGTATTTTGAAAATTAATAGCTTTTTAATATTCCAAACTTTTACTGGTAACAAGAACTCCATTTTTAATTTAACATTCTTTTTGAGATAGACATAAGGAAGCAATTCAGCTATCAGAGCTAGAAATGATGTGAGGTACATCTCCATAGAGGCACAGGCTACCTTTCCATAGTGATAACCTGTGATGAACCTATGATATTGATAAATAAAAAATCAGTCTTGGGAGCTGTCAGTGTAGCACTTTTTACACATCCTAAATTCACTAATTAAAATAGAAAATCACTATCAGAAATAAATAACCAGAAAATAGCTTTCCTACATATTTTAGTTTCTCTGACCTATTTTTATAGGAAGACAATGACTCCATGCAAAGTAGATCTTTAGTATTTCTGTCATGCTGATTAATGTAATTGGAGAAATATGGCTGAGCCTTGCCTTAGGAAGAAGCAAGTACAACCTTAATGAGTTTCCTTGATATTGCAACTAGCTTAAATAAAATAAGAACACAATTAAGATTATTCAAATATAAGTCTAAATCTGAATACCATTAGCTATTGTTCAATGCGCTGAAGTGTGAAGAGCATGCTTTTATGTTTGCTGCAAAAAACATGCACTTTTAACATTAAAGGCCTGAGATAGAATAATATGATAAAGCCAAGGAAGTTAAATAATGAATAAAAATAGCTACTAATGCATTTTGAGACTTACATGCAGACTATAAAATTGGAATGCACAAGCACACTAGAAAGAACACCTGGTTATGAAATGGTGTTCTGAAAAAAAAAATGTAAACATTTTTGATATTTGACAAACACCCCATGTGAGTAGTCAACTCAACCTACATACAGCCCCAAAGGGTGAATGCAGCAGGACAGCCTGAATTAATTGCCCTAGAAAAGAGGAGGTATGCAAATTAAGATTGACCACTGTACTCAGTCTAAATATATAGCAGTCCTCATTGACATATTAGCCTCGAAGATGAAAACAATGTGTGGAGTAGCTTCCATAAATATTAGAGAATAGTTTTTATAAAATATTCTTTGATATAAATATTAGTGTAGTATAAACCTTACGTTAAGATGTGAATGGACTCAGACACCTGAGATCATGGAGGTTTCATTATCCATGCTGGAAGGACTTAAAAAGCAGGTCCTGGATGCAGCAAAAATTAATGGATAGCTCATCAACAAGAGCTTCTGACTGGATGAATAAAGTGTTCAGAGACAGAGGATTGTTTTCAAGGGTGCAAGCTATTCAGTTTTCTCTTCTTTTTTTTTCTTTTCCTTTCTAACTGTACCATATCTACTTTAGTTTACAACAGATATGACTCTACACATTTCCTTTCCTTTCCTTGCTTTTAATTCAATGTTCTCTGTTTTCATTAGTTTATATTGTTTTAGTTAATTTGGTAAATCACTAGTTGGGTAATTTTCTATAGATATCCTCAGGGAAAAGAGAATGCCAGAGTTTCTGAAATCTGTACCCAGCTTTTAATCTTATTCATGTTTTAACCATACTATGTGATATCAAATCAGGAAGCAGAATTCTATACAATTTAACACATTGGCCATGAATCTCACATAGGTTAAGCCAAGGTTTTATGCAGCCGCACAGAAAGCCAGGAGGGGGGAGAGAGAAGAAGGGTTCAGATCCTACATTTCTATAGCTGATTAAGAACATTTAACTTCACACCTCTTGAATGGGAGGAGCCTCTTGACTGGGACTTTTTCGTGAGCACAGTATAGGCAGAAAGTAGTTAAGGAGGGTTTCTGTAACATCACTGTGGTTTCCAATGGAGATGACTAAGTATGTGGACTGTTATTGTGGTATATCCTGTAAAAACATATTAAAAAATATCCCTGATGAAAAAAGGGGGGATCCCAGAATGCATCAGCTGGGTAATTATGAGACTGAATATGTACCAAGTCCTAATATGGTGTTTTTCCTCAGGACTTTACCAAGGTCTTAGGGCTTGATCCAAGATTCACTGGGGTCAACAGGGGCCTTTCAGTTGACTTGAATGAGTATCTAATTGGGCAAAAATACAATGAACCAGTTGTTATCTGAACTCCAGACATGTTCACCCCACCACGTGGCTTTGATTTGACTTCATTTCTGGTTTGTGAAGGCCACTTTTATTTTTAATTCAACCCATTTTCCCACTTGAACTACTTGAAAATATTTAGCACCTCATTATAATAATAATCACCTGTAACATTAGCCAGTACAGCCTTTAATATTCTTTAGCAGTAAAACACAATGTGCACTTACAGGTTTTGATTGAACTATGCTGATGTTCCTTAAAATTGATATTTCTGAACTGCTTGCATATTAGAACTCTACAAATTGGATTGTTTTATATTATTGGTGTTTTCAAGTGGTAGATGTAACTGTTTTAAGCCTAAATGAGCACTGATTCCCTCCTTAGAATTTTCTCATTTGGCCTCTCACCATGGCTTTGTAAACAGGTATAGAACTTGCACATCCATTTCTAACCCATACATTTAATTACCTTATTGTTTCCTTACTGCATAAATTACAGATTATCCTTTCCAAGACAAATCTATCATTATTATACTTTTCAATCAAATGCTTTTTCATGGAAATGAATTAAAATTAGCCTCCAACTTATTGTCATGTCTGGCTAATTTATCATGTAAATGTTTAGTAAGAATAAACTTCATATAAAACTAACTTATTTGCCATAAATTGTAATAACATGCAATTCAGATTGTTACTAAAGGACTTAAAATGATATCTGGTTAAACAGATTTACAGAGTGGAAAGGTGAAGATAATGGAAAGGTGAAAATAATGGGACAAAACTGAGATGCAACAGAGATTGATACTGAAAATTTGAACATGACAGAATAAAATTCTTGTCAAGGAATGGAGCCAAAATGAAACTGGCAACCACAGTGCTTGACAGAAATAATATGTTTGAGAATTAACATGAGCTCAGTAGAAAGATAAGTGGAAAGATCACTGAACTATGCGTAAAATAAAAAGGAATGTAACTGTGAGAAAAACCTTACTCATCACTTTCATAAAATAACTAGTATGTTATTCAAATACTAGCATTAAAAGAAGGTGAAAGCAGATGCTGTTTTTTGGCCCAGGAGGACCTGAAGTCAAAAAGTGGAGGTATTTCAGGTTTGTAAAAATGAGTAGATGCCACTGGAAAAACTTCTTGATAAAATTCTACTAAACCAAAATCTCATCACCATTAAAAAAGAATACAGAACCTCTGTCTTTCATTAACCTAATCTACAGAAACAAGGGTGATATGCACAATGTCGACCACATTCTTCCCTTAAACAAGAATAATCCTACTCCAAACAGTGCAAAAGAGAGAAGAGTCATGAATGTTAATGGAAGTCTAGGCCAATTTTAATTATTTTATTTGGAAAATACCCATTGCTGAGGATGATAGGCAATTAAGTAAAGAAAGTTTAATGTCTAAATACTGGGGAAAACCTTCTGATAATGATGATGAATGTAGAAGTGTCTTCAAAGAAAATGATTACTTAAGGAGTCTAAAAAATCTTGTAGCATATACAAGACATGGAGGAATGGAGTGGATGGCTGAATAATTTTTTTTTTCTCCATTTCTGTCTTCTGTTACACCTGAGGGAAAAGGGGGCAGGGAGTTCACTAATCTACAAGTTCATCATGTATATTTAGTACAACCACTTGAGTATGGGACTTTTCATGTATATTGCTACAGCATGAAGGCCATGGAATATGAAAGGGCAGAATTCTTGGCAAAGTATTTTTAAAATAAAATGGTTCCCCTTGAGCTTTTGTAATGTGTGCTATTTGTGACATGGATATAGATCACCCATCATAGTTATATTAAGCAGTAAACTATGACAGACAGTAAATTGTGTTGTATTAATATACACTTAATATTTTGTTTAATTTGAGGCAGAAAGTGAAGCGCTATTCTAATTCCCTTAGACTCCTTCTACACATGTAGGTAAAGGCACAATTGGATCTAATGTGTGATCCACAAAATTACACATTAGATCCACTTGAATCATAGTGCCATTGTAGAGGGAGATTGATCCTGGGCTCACCTTTTGGCAAGAAGGTAAGCCCTGTCAGCTGCTGGGCTCTAGCTGCAGGCGAGACCCTGATACGCATGCAAATTAAAGCTTGATAGCAACTAGCTATAAAGTTAGTACACATTTTCAAGGCCGATCTTTATAGCTGGTTGGAGCTTTTTATTGTGATAGGTGTTGAAGAGCACTTAGGTGCACTGCTCCTAAGAAGGAAAAAACTGCTAGGGAAGGAGCCCTAGAAGTGAGGGATGAGCTCAGCTGTGGGTTGCCAGGGCAACCAGAGGAGGTCAGCTGACTGAAAGGGGGCAGGGCCTGGCTCCTTTATAAACCCTAGGGGCTGAGGCCAGGCTACTAGTTCCCTGCCAGCAGCCAAGGGGGAAGGAGCTCCCTCAGGAAAGAGAGGGGAAGCCTGATTGAAGGAGCAGTGTCTGATGTGGCTGAGGGATGGAGTATTCCCTG